ACATACACATTCCCATTCCCTCTCTTTCTCTCTCTCTCTCTCTCACACACACACACACACACACACACACACACACGGATCAGCAGAGCGTCCCATTGCGCAATCATGCGTGTACGTGTCGCAAGCTCACTGTGTGAGATGGATGTCCGGACGCGTAGCCTAGCGGCTCCTCGTCCGGAACCGGTCGCGTAGCCACGGCCTATATTTTATTGAAACGCTCCAACTGGACTGACTGCTGAATAAGAATAAGAAATAATAAGAAGGAATAAGAAGATTAAGAAGAAGGAATAAGAAAAAGAAATAAGAAGAAGGAATAAGGAATAAGAAATAAAAAATAAAGGAATAGGAATAAGAAATAAGAAGAAGGAATAAGGAATAAGAAATAAAAAAGAATAAGAAATAAGAAACAAAGAATAAGAAGGAATAAAAAGAAGAAGAATAAATTCCCCGCACATTTCAAAGAGAGAATCAGTGCCTTGTGAAATACAACTCGAGAGGGACCCCAAGATACAACTTACAAGAAAGTGCCTGGACCAGAGGCTGAGCATACACAAACAAAATTAGGATTTTATAAGTTTTTTAGGTACCTCTTGACTTACCCTCCGCTTGGCCATGATAATCACGTTTGAGATCCGCACTTCTTTCAAATTATGCTGGTTTTAAACAATGATAACTCTAATTTTCAGTACAATCAAAACAACGCTAACGTTGTCTCATTGGTTTTGCGTGTAGAATTTGTATAGCGCCATCTATACAGTAAGATACACAGCTGTTCTTCTGTTTTTTTTCAAGTTTATTGTTATTCGTTTATTGTTAAAATTACGTATAGTAAAATTTTATATGTATATACATCTATATTATATGATGTATAGATATTTATGACTTTTTGTACGCATATAATTATTTATCGTGTATTTATTCAAATTATTGTACTTATTACGTTCAATATTAGGTGCGCATGCGCACGGCTATAAAACCACAAGCCAAGGTTTTGTAGAAATGTAAGTTGTGTTCTAAATAGTTACCTCGTAATATCCTTATTTGTGCGTGTAAACTAATATTGTTGGGTATGTTACTGCCTGTATGTTGTAACTCTTTTTGTATAATGTATCTTATATTATATGCTACTAGTACTATTCCAAAATAAAGCTGGGTTTTTGAACTTTTGGCACAACAAGTTTAACAACGTCACAACATAAGCGCTAGGCCTACGGCGTATGCTGAAAAATAGGCTGCGTGCACTGAAGAGACACTTATTCACTAACAAGTAACAGCATACACATGCGTCATATTAATTAGGCCGTGGCTACGCGACCGGTTCCGGACGAGGAGCCGCTAGGCTACGCGTCCGGACATCCATCTCACACAGTGATCTTGCGACACGTACACGCATGATTGTGCAACGGGACACTCTGCTGATTGCCGAGTGTGTGTGTGTGTGTGTGAGAGAGAGAGAGAGAGAGAGAGGGAATGTGTATGTGTGTGTATGCGTGAAGGAGAGAGAGCTAGAGGTGTGTGAGAGAGAGCGCGCGCGAGAGAGAGAGCTGTGTGTGTGTGAGAGAAAGAGAGAGAGAGGGAGAGAGAGAGCAAGAGAGGACGGATGAAAAGATAGACGGCAGCAGTGCATATATTGTATATTTTCGGCAATCAGCAGAGCGTCCCGTTGCGCAATCATATGGAAGGCCATTACCGCCAAAACCTACCTATTTTAATCGCGCTTAAGAGTCGCGCGATCACTGTTTGAGTGGATGTCTGGATGCGTAGCCTGGAGGCTAGGCGACCGGTTCCGGATGCGTAGCCTGGAGGCTAGGCGACCGGTTCCGGACGCGTAGCCACTGCGTATTAATTATTATATGCACACGCATTCATACTATTACTTATTAGTATAATTACTACTAATAATAATAATAATATGAAGGTAATTGTATTGGTTCAAGGATGTATTAATTAGGTGACCCCAGTGCATTTTCGCAATGTGCGACATGCGCAAATGTGAACAGCTGTTCTATCCTTGGGCCATTGTATTTACTACTAAGTTAATTTTTGAGTACTTCCTATTGCCTAGTAATAATTTCATGTAAATACCATTCAAATGGTCCTTTACTTTACAAAACATAAATAATCCTACCGCACGCATTGCACTAGGTCTATGCTCAAATAATAATATATATGTAGCCCGATATACCTCCCAATTGCTAAGCCTATATGTTCCATCTATCATCAATCAGCAAGGCCATGTAGGGAGCAATAAGTTACTGATCTAGAATTCTATAAAGAATTTGTAAAAAGCCATTTGAGAAACAATGCAACTATAATAAGAGGCGATGTTGAATTATTTGCGTATATTATTATTATGGGTGCAACGAATCACAACTTCACGGTTCGGTTTTCGGTTTTCACATTTCGGTTCGGTTATCTTCGGTTCGAATATTTGCGATCAATTACAAATCTTATAACACCAAACAGAAGTGCAAATTTAATAATCAGACTGGTTTATAAATACCATAGATCTGTAGGAGGCCGGCGGATCAACATAAGTTGTCATTTTTGCAGACAAAATGAACGCGTTGACCTTCTCGTGGTCTATCAATGTTATCTGCTCGCTGATTGGCCGAGAGTTTACGACCAGCCAATCGCAGTGCGCGTATCTCAAAAGCGTATATATCGGGTATATATAAAATGTGGAACCGAAACCGAGCCGAAAACGGAACGACGGTTTGAATATCCGAATGGTGGCGCAAAAACCGCGGTTTTCGGTTAACCGCGTTACACCACTAATTATTATATTTTCAGTTTTTGTTTCAGAGTTTGTTCCAAGTGCCTATGTCACTTATCTGTATTGAAGTTTTCTTTATTTACCCAGGCAAAGCTATCAACATGGATTCTGCCACAGAAGTTAACCAAATACAGGAAGAAATTGATAGACTAACAACCCTTATTTCTGCCCATAAGCGGGCTCAAGTTATGCACACGGGTGTATTACCTAGAGATAGGGATGCAAAACAAAGCCTATACAATACAAGAACGTGCTTGCATAGTAAAGGCAACAAAAAGCCATACAGAAACACACGTGCATGGATCAAGCAGCCTGCCATTGCTCAAGTAACCCAGTCTTCAACGTTACGTGCGGCATCCGTGCTACACAAGCAGGTATCTATTGGTAGTGTTAACTGCTCATCTGGATTAAAACTGCCTAGTTTACCATCACATGTTTGTAGTAATCTGCCGACAAAGCCTGTGAGTAGACGTGCGAGTGTTTTAAATGTTAAAGGACTTGGTGTTGATCAGAACAAAAAGCGAGCATCACAAACAGAGGCAAATGACGTGAAATATCGCAGACTTGTGCAGAAAACAGCAGCTGTAAAAGAACTGCTGCATAGTGACGTGTTAACAAATGCAGCAGAAAAACAGATACCAACTACTGTGTGCAAGGAGCGTGGTATGAGAAGTGTTGGAGAGTACAAGCTCGTCAATAACAAATCTGTGAAAGCGTGGGTAGATCTGTCAACACCGTGTGTTGAACATTCTAGCACAAGCAGTGAGAACACGTCTAACGCACATTCCACACTTCAGAAACTAGGGAAGTATAAGCTCGTGAAAACAGGTAATGGTAAAATGGTGCCAAGTTCACCTTTTGCTAGATCATCCACAGCATTACAAGATGCCAATGCTACTACATCCATAAAGTCATCAAGATTGTTTACCACACCTTCAACAGTTAAAAATATGCGCAAAGGTGCTGCTGAAGTGATTAAAGCACGTAGTGCTAGACGGCTTTCCGACACCAGATCTCGTGTACGAAGATCATCTGGACAGTCTCCTGCATTGAGAAAGGTTGGTAAGTACAAGTTGATCAGAAGAAGGAAGTCGTCTGAAACAAATCTCAATAGATTGAATTTGTCGAACAGTAGACATAAAATTCGATACTCGCCACGGAGCACAGCTAACGTTGTCAACCCTACCAGAGTTCGAATGTCTCATCTCGGTGGAAACGTCCAAAGCACATTGCCAGTTAGCTTCCTACGACTGGTTGAGAAGTTTAAACGTGCTTCAAAAAATGCTGATAGGAAACCCAGGGGCATAAATGCTTCACTGCAGACTGGAAATTTGGTCGTGATCGGAGGAATGCTGTACAAGTCCACACGAAACAAACTAAAGAAGCAGTCGCAGTCCGCTGCTAGACAAAAACGATGTGCTTCTTTGGTGATAAGGAATGTGCGCCGTCCAAAAAAGATGAGTACCCTCTTTGTACGCGGTGTTCGTTACCACGTGGGCGAGGATGGGATGACGCTTAGACGAGACGAAAACAGTTGTAGTGACGCCTCTCTAGGCAGGATTGACATCGGCGGCGCCACCTATGTGCAGACTCGACCAGGAACACTTGTAAGACGCACAGGCCTGAAGACAGTCCAGATCGCCCATCGTGTGGTCAACCGTAGCATGAACCACGCGCGGCGAGCAAGTCTTCGTAAGGCGGGCAGCGTAAAACAGTACTGTGTCTTCTACAACCGCTACGGCAAGTGCAAGAAGGAGAACTGCAGGTTCGTTCATGATCCGTCCAAGGTAGTCGTCTGCACGAGGTTCCTGCGTGGCACCTGCAAGGTGGAGAGCTGCCCATTTTCTCATGAGGTGTCCAAGGAGAAGATGCCAGTGTGCTCGTTCTTTCTGCGAGGCGTCTGTGGCAGGGTCGGCTGTCCGTACCTGCATGTGAATGTTGGGCCCGATGCCAAAGTGTGTGACAGGTTCCTGCAGGGCACTTGTTTACTCGGTGAGAAGTGCAAGAAAAAGCACATCCTCCGCTGTCCGGAGTTTGCTAAGACAGGAGCTTGTGCGAAAGGTGGCAGGTGCAGGCTGGTGCACCCTAGAGCACGTCCAGGTGGGGTCACAGTTCGCAGATCTGCTCGTCAGGAGCTAAAACACGTGGCAGGGATGTCTAGCAGTGAAGCCGAGGGAAGTACTCCGACTAAAGATGATCTGGGAAAGCCACAGGGAGATTCCAGTACTTCATCTGAATGGCCCACTAAGCTGCCTTCTTACATCTCTCTAACAGGTTCTCCTGACCTCACAGTGTCAGTCTCGCAGCATGCAAAATGTGTAAGAATTCGACCCCAGTTCTCCCCATCATGATGCAATTTTTTATTAGACTATTTTCTTAACTTTTCCTAATTCATTCAAATGCTGTTCTAGACCAATTATTTCCCCATAACCTAATAACTACTGACGTTTGACAAAATATTGAAACCAGTTTAGAACTTACAAAACCAGTTGAATGCATTTTTAATATCAATTAGTAAATGCAAGATTGTTACATGAGTATTTTAATAATAAAAGACGTTGAATTAAAATGTATGGCGTCAGATTTATTTTCCACTTGTCGTTAGAAAATTGAAAATGCCCCTCTGTCCATAATTCTGACCTACATTGTATATATATTATCAGAAGTAGATAATAGGGAATTGATATTATGCTTCACAAAAGTACTCCAAGGCACAACGAAACTTACAGAGTTCAATTTTTATTCATGAAAATATACATGTACTACAAAATGCAAATCCTTTAGGATTGGCCTGACAGAAGCTTGACATTTTTATCCATGTTAACAATGGCACCACAACGAATAGTTTTTTAAGGGTCTTTTGGTGCAAGCTGTAATTGGGCTTTCTAGACCAAGTACAGTTGAAATGGAGAAGAAAATGTAATCACAGCTATGGAAATATTGTCACATTGCTCTGTAAAGGATGGTAGCTGTAACCTCATAAAATACGAAACCAGAAATTAGATATTGACCTTTAAATGTAGAAAATTGACATGTACTTATTGCATAGCTAACACACAGCAGATCACTAACACTGGACAATTTTAATAGAATTGTATGTATATGTATATATGTATACATATATATATATACATATATCCTGACACGCTAATTTATATGAACATACATATGTATGTACATAGACAGGAATGAAATAATATACAAATAATAGGGTGTATATTGTGGGTGTAAAGGCCACCACGTAATTTCGATTGTATCGAACATAAAAATGATGAGCTAAACACACACACTGACATCATTGGTTATGAAATCCTACCACCTACAGAAATGTATTTCCCTGCTGTGCATTATGTGTACTACTAGTATCAGGAGTAAGATAATATAGGATATATGTCCTATATTATCTTACTCCTGCTAGTATGCATACGATGTCCAGAACAATTGCAAAAAAGAAAGGAAATGCTATATTTGTACAGGTGAAGCTCCAATTGTGACAGTTGGACTTAGAATATCTCCATTACTGTTCGGTTGTTTTCAAAGCAGAGTAGTGCCTAGTACATTCACACGTAATACCAGGTTGAGTCCTAGCACAGTGATTAAGTATTACAAATAGAATAAAAATAAGTGTATATATTCCGAGTCATATTTACAATATTATAGCAAACACAAGTGAACCTATTGTTATTGTCACGTGTGAATTTTCTGTTCAAGCTATAAAATAAGAAGTAACCCGAGGTTAAATACTTGGAATCAGATATCAGTAGAGCTGGAGGTGATTTACATGTTGCATTCTAGGTGACTGGCAAGTAGTCGGCACTACGAAGTCACTTCACTTGTCCTTTCCATCTGCATTCACTATTGTACAACAAAATAGAATTTACTCGTTTGCTTTATGTATGTTAGCACCTTCATTTCATCAACTCCACTGTCACCTCTTACCTGCAATGCAAGTGCGAGCTAGCTTTATATAAAACACGGTTATATGCAAACCTGTAAAGCTGGATACTGTGTGTACAGAATACCGTACAAGAGTACATAGCCCTGAAAACTCATATACTTGCGATTTTAATGAAAGGCCAATTATATAATAGTCCAGCATATTCAATAACAGCATCATGTATGTTGGTGCGCAGATGAAATAAAATTGAGCGATATAAACTATTAATTGTGTAAGTCTACGGCGTTTTCAAGAAAACTATATATTATGACATCTGCACCATAGTACATGCCTGTAAATCCCATTTCCTATATAAAATTTTCCAACAGATTTCTTCATATAGAACGAAAATATTCTCATACAGGTTGTTCACAGAAAATATGAGCAGCCACATTCTATAGGTACAACAGGTATTTGTCCTTTAAATCTTGAAGCAATTGAGGTCTGCAAACCCAAGACGTTGCTGTTCTGCACAGCACTATAATGAATATAGTTTTGCCGAATACATTAACAATTACACGTACTAATCTAATGTGTGGAAAACGTGCACACATTGCACATGTACGTGCATACACATATATACATATATTTACACGTCTACATAAGAGAAGAATTTCAATTGATTTCCGTATCACATAGCCAAATGTAATGTTTATAAAGTCAACAATGTTAGCAAGGACCAACTGCACTGTGAACATTTTATACGTAAAATCAGTGTGGTCATATGAAATGTGCCTTAAATGTTCTACATTTTACCTTAATAGTTTTATATTCCTTAATCTAGTACTGAATAATGACATATATTTGAACATTCACGAAATGCAAGACAACACTTATGCAGCTGTGAACCAATTGATGTCACTGTGAAGCACGTATGAACTCCACATGAGTGATCAATGGCAAACATACTATACTAGAATAAGGAACCTGAGCGTTCGGTTTTGATGAGATGTGTTGCGCCGTTGTCACTAGTAGCGCCACCTAAATGAGAGTAGAGCGTCTGTGAGTGATTTTCCGATTGTGGGTGCAATCTTTGCGAGCTGCTTGAGGGTACCCGAAACCCGTCTAACCATGGATTTGTGCTTTGGCTTGACATGCCACTGTCGCTGCTCGAGGCGTATTCGGTCCTCTGCTCCGTCAGCGCGAGCCACGGGTTGCCGATACCCGCCGCACTGTACGCACTGCGCGACGAGGAGCTGGCGCCACCTGTAGTCGGAGCACTCTGGCCGACATGCAGAGGAAAGTGCATGCCGCTGAGCCAAGGATCGACGCGGGAGCCGGGGACGGCCGACCAGATGTCGCTCACGCTCGGTCTGACCGTGTCTCGGCGCGGCTCCGCGACGCTCCGCGCTGGACTAGACGCGCTCACTCCGTTGGCAGCGGTGCCCTGCAGCCACGGGTCTAGCCGCGGCAGCCAGGAATCGAGCAAGTTGCCGCTACGCGGAGACGACGCGCTCGCGCTGCTCCGACCGGTGCCAACGCCCGCCCACGCGTCCCCCGACGACCCCTTCCACGGCGTTTGCCCCGCCTCGCTCGCCCTCATCCTGCCATTGCAGCTCCCCGCAGTCGACGGCACGCTCGCCGCGGCGTTATTCGGCGCACTGGACTTGCTCGTCTGCAGACTGAGGTCGTCCAGCCCGATCCACTGGTCGGCTCTCGCCGCGTGACCCTCGGGAAGGTCGCCCTGGGTCGCCCGCGAGCCGGTCGCCGCGCCGCTCCACGCCGTCGTCGCCTCCCGGCTGGCGCACGCCCCCTGCCCCCCCGCGAGACCGTACGCTCGGCTCGTCGCGCGGCTCCACCACTCGCCCCACTCGTTCGGAATATCACTCACAGACGCTCCCAGCAGTCAGTCGAGCGGGATGATCTCTGGCGGTGAGCCCGCCTGGTTCGGACTGATGCGGTTGACGACTTCGGGCGTCGAGCTGGTCGTGCGAGAGTCAAGCAGGCGGTCCGACAACGACGTGAGGCTGCCCATCGAGCGCTGCTGCTCCGAGAGCAGCGTGAACATGTCGTAACCTGTTGTAACATCGATGAGTGAGTGAGAGAGGGAGAGGGAGAGAGAGAGAGATGGAGGGAGAGAGAGCGGGGGAGGGGGAGAGTGAATGAAAGAGAGAGAAAGAGAGGGGGAGGGAGAGAGAGAGAGATGGAGGGAGAGAGAGCGGGGGAGGGGGAGAGTGAATGAAAGAGAGAGAAAGAGAGGGGGAGGGAGAGAGAGAGAGATGGAGGGAGAGAGAGCGGGGGAGGGGGAGAGTGAATGAAAGAGAGAGAAAGAGAGGGGGAGGGAGAGAGAGAGAGATGGAGGGAGAGAGAGCGGGGGAGGGGGAGAGTGAATG